GGCTGTGTGTGGCCAGGGCACTGATAGTCCCAAGGCTGTGCTGGAGAGTGATTTTCACAGTACAGATACCACAGCTGAGATGCAGGCGGGACAGGCACGATGATGACAGTCAGGCACGGGGTGACCCTGAGCATGCACGGGCCTGTGATTATTCGCCACTCCATTTTGTTTTTCTTTGAGCTTCTGGTTCGTGTCCTCTGCCAGTTCTCGGATGTCAGTGTGACATGTTTCAGGTGTACCTGCTTAAAAGTGAAGCTGCTAGAGCAAAGAGTTATGTCGAGGGCTTCCGGAGAAGCTCTGATTTCAGACAGGTTTCATACCGATTTGGAGTCTGTTTCTGATGGTGTCAATGCCTCTTGTGTATAGCAGCCCAAGGTAGCATGTTAATTGTCTAGCGGGCTAGAAGCTAGAAAAACCTGGCGGGCTGGCTTTGTGTAAATTTTTGTTGACCTTGCATAGCCAGGTGACCCCTGACACTGGCCACTGGCTGGCTTTGTGGGGGCGGGGCAGGGAGGAGGCCCAGGCAGTGCTGGGGGTCTGAAGCTGCCCCTGGGCTGTGTGGCAGTGGGGTCCCTTCCTGCAACCCTCTGCACCTGGCCTAGAGCCTGTCTCCGTGCAGGTGCTCAGTGGAGACCTGTTGGATGAAGGACAGAGCATGGGCTGTGCTTGCAGGAATCGCCTCACTTAACCCTCCTAAAGTGCCTGCAGGTAGCTATTCCTGGCCCATTTTGTGGATGAGGAAGCTGAGGTTCGGAGAGTCCTCTGCTGCAGGTCACACAGGTAGGGGGTGTACGGGCCAGGGTCGCAGCCTGCTGTGCCTGGCTACAGGGCACACACCCTTGGCCTGACTACTGCTCAGGCTGACGTGGCCTCAGCAACATCAGCTCATCTTGGGTGTGATCAGACCCCTCGTGGCTGGCCCCTGACTCTTCCCAGGTCCTTACACTCTCTTCCTAGACTCAGGTGTCGGGGAGGCTGGGATGGAAGAAGGGCTGGGGTTATTGAAGAAACAGAATCTGGAATGGGGGATGCCAGGAGGGAATGGGGGAGCATGAGTCCAATCCTGTGTGACCCTTAGCTGGTTACCGACCCTCTCTGTGCTTCAATCTCCTTATCTGGAACCAGCCTCCTCCTCTTACAAAGGCTTGGAACAGAGCAGGCTCCTCTGATCCCACCCCAGACTCAGGGTCATCTTGCAATAAATTGGCTTGTGTTGGCTGTCAAGACTGAGAGCATTGCGAGGTGCTGGGGAGGCTGGGGAAGGGCATGAGATGGCATGCTCTACCCCAGGTCTGGGGTTTGGCTTCCAGCCTGGGTGTGCCCTGGGCAGTGTGTCTGCGTAGTCCAGCTGGAGGCGGGTAGTGGTGTCTCCTGGGGGATAACTGGGCGGACTCTGTGTTCTCTATTCTTGAAGGAATGTGCAAAGGAGGACATGGAATGTCCATGTCTCTGGCCCTTTGCCCTCTCGCAGGGAGTACAGGCAGCCTGCCGGCCTTCCCCTGGGCTGAGCCATGCAGAGGGACTGTGGAAGGCTCCCAGAGTTGCTGGAAAACAATAGCTCTCTATCCAGTGCTTTGCCTGGCTGGCCTGGTGCTCTGTGCTGGACACGTGGGTGCCATTCATTCTTCACTTCGGCTCCTTGAGGTGGCTACTGTTTCTCTGGTGCACCTCTTTACAGAAGAGGAAGCGAGGCCCAGAGAGGCGAGCACCTTTTCCAGGTCCCGAGGCGGTGGCTGGGGCTATAAGGTGTAGAGCTCGGCGGGTGGGCCCAGGCCTCTGCCAGCCTTGGAGTGTCCCGCTGCCTCTCTTCCTGCCCAGAGGGAGCCAGCAAGCAGTTCTCTCCTGGTGCTCAGGCTCCTTTGACTCTGCCTGCTCCCGTCTGTCCTGTCTTTGCCGGTGGGCCGAAATGCTCCTGTGCTCCCCCGTGGGGCGTCGTGGGGCCTCTCACAGAGCTGCCGTTAGGGACTCTGATGCTTGTGACTTGGGCTGGGGCAGCCCCTGGATGCAGGAGGGAGGTGGTCACCCCCATACCCCACCTGCCTGTGCCAGGGTCTTTGCAAGGCTTGTTGGGCACAGGTGGCAATGTTCTCACTGGAGGCATCTGGGGAGCAGCCAGGGAACTGGTTAGGGGCCATCCACGTCCAACTGGAAGATGAACGGAAAGGCAGAGCAGCGAGGGTATGGCCAGGCTGCTCCCTGGCGGGAAGCATGGTAACTGGGGAGCACTAACTGAGGGTCGTTTGTGAAGGAGGGAGGGAGGAAGGAAGGGTGGTGAAGCACCTGGGCTCGTGGCGCAGGAGTGCCCGTCACCACAACAAAGGGCATGGAGCCCAGCAGCACCTGGCCAGTGGAAGTAGGGTCAGCCTACCTGGAAGCCAGAGGGGACAGGCCTGTGGGTGCCAGCCCTAAACAGCAGCCCCTGGGGCAGAGAACAGGAGCCTGCATCGGGTGAGAGGGATGTGTACTCACTCACTGGGGTCTAGAGGTCTGGCTGTAAGGCGCAATCTGAAAAGCTGGGGCTGGGTGGAAGTCCTTATTTGGCTTCATTTTCTGGGTCCTTGGAGTGAGGAATTCCGGGCCCAGAGTCATGGGATTTCCTGTTGATTTCTGATTTCTCTGAGACTCCGAAGGTCTCGTTCATGGTCAGGCACTGGAATGTCCTCCCTGCCACCTTGGGTGTGCATTCAGAAGAGGAGGTTCACAGCATTCTCCAGGAAGGAAACCAAGCCTGTCCTAGGGAAGCCCAGCCCAACCCTTAGGGTGGCTTGGGGCGGCCAGCCTGGCCCACCCCATGGAGACCAGCAGAGAGCTGAGAGGACTGAGGACCGGCTGCTGGATGCCGAGACGTCCTTTCTTTCTTTTCTTTTCTTTCTTTCTTTTTTTTTTTTTTTTTTGAGACGGAGTTTCGCTCTTGTCCAAGCTGGAGTGCAATGGTGCGATCTCGGCTCACTGCAACCTCCGCCTCCTGGGTTTGGGCAATTCTCCTGCCTCAGCCTCCCGAGTAGCTGGGATTACAGGCACGCGCCACCATGCCCAGCTAATTTTTTTTTTTTTTTTTGGTATTTTTAGTAGAGACGGGGTTTCACTGTGTTGACCAGGATGGTCTCGATCTCTTGACCTCGTGATCCACCCGCCTTGGCCTCCCAAAGTGCTGGGATTACAGGCTTGAGCCACCGCGCCCAGCAGAGACGTCCTTTCTTTTTGAGTTCTTTCCAACCGCTGTTGCCACCACCTCTGCTTCCTTGCTCCTCTGGCCCAAATGTGGGCTCAGGTGGGGGCTTTGGTCTCCTAAGCACACCAGAGGGCAGGCCGAGGTGGACGGAAGTCCAGCATTCCCGGAAAGTGTCGCTGAATGGCCTTCCAGCCAGCCTCTGCCACATGAGTCCCTAAGCAGAGAAGAAAAGACGTCAGCCTGGGTGCCCTTTCCCGATTTCCGGTCTATCTCCATGTGGCAGCAGCCTCCCGTGTGACCTTCTGTTCACAGCCCACGGCCAGACCCTGAGTGCAGCCCTGGCCTCCAGCCCTGGGCCCGTCCTGTCTAAGGCCCCGCTTCCCTGTGTTTGGCACTCTTCAGGCTGGCCCTGCCCAGATCGCAGGCCGCAGAACAGCCCGACAGGAGCCTCACTCACCAAGCGTTCCTGTCATGGTGCCACAGCAGTGAGTGACTGCTGGGTGGGATTCATCCTGGGAGGCAGAGCAGGCGGAGAGGTATTCCCAAAGGCACTGCGCTCCAGTCCTGCCACACCCCAGCTGTACCCAGGAAGACGTTACCAGCTGGTGGCATGACTCCCCAGCGAGCCTCATGCTCCCTCTCTGCCCACCCCTCCAGGCCGCCACAGCCGATCCACTGGAGTTGATGCTTGAGACAGAACCTGTGTTCTCCCTTTCTAGTGAAAGGTGTGGGGTAGCTGGTTCTCTGACGGTCGTAGGGCAGTTGGGGTGCTTAGGGCTACATCCTAACCCTGTTTTTGAGTCTAAAAGTCCCCTCCTGGCTGTGCCAAAGGGCCCTGGGACTGGACTGACTGTGGGCTTGGCTCACTCTGGGCGTTTCCCTTGTAGTTTGCATTTCATCCCTCGCAGAAGGAACCCGGCACTGACTCAGGGGACAGACAGTGCCCAGCACAGATGGGATCTGCTCCCCTCACCGTCTCGTCTCCAAGATTCACACTCTTGCCTTTGTTTTTTTGAGACAGGGTCTCACTCTGTCACCCAGGCTGGAGTGCAGTGGCATGGGCACAGCTCAGTGCAGTCTCGGCCTCCCAGGCTCAAGTCATCCTCCCACCTCAGCCTCCCAAGTAGTTGGGACTACAGGCTTGCATCACCACATCGGGCTAATTTTTTTTTTTTTTTTTTTGGTATTTTTCTTAGAGATGGGCTCTTGCCATATTGCCCAGGCTGGTCTCAAACTCCTGGGCTCAAGGGATCCGCCCACCTTGGCCTCCCACAGTGCTCTGGATGACAGACTTGAGCCGCCACACCTGACCACCCTCTTGCCTTCTCCGTGGTTGGGTGGTTATGTGTCTATTGGAGGCAGTTGCTGTAAAACTAACTCACGGTGCAGAGGATGGGACTGTGGAAGACTGAGCAATCTGGGTTCAGGTATGGAGCCCGCTCTGCTGTGTGAGCTTGGGCCAGTTATTCAACTTCTCAGAGGCTCAGTTCCCTTCTCTGGAAGAGGCCACAATAATAGTAGCTGCGGGGTTGCCTTGGGGATGAGTTAAGAGTGTAAATACAGAGCCGCTCACATGCGCTGGGTGCTGTTCTGTGCCCGAGACTCTCTGGTTCCTGAGGAAGGGGCGATAGGGGCCCAGGTGGGAGTTGACTTGGCCCTCTGACACCCTAAGGGGCAGGCACTACAAGCACTGAGTGGCCTGGACCTTGGCTTAGAGCGATTTTCCTGATTTTTAATCTGGGATGTGTCTGTCGGACGCAGGCCTCTGTGTGTGCCCTCCTGTGCCCCTGCCCAGCTCTGACTCACCCCTCCTGTCTCCCGCCTCCAGCAACATGTCAGACGCCTTGGCCAACGCCGTGTGCCAGCGCTGCCAGGCCCGCTTTGCCCCCGCTGAGCGCATCGTCAACAGCAACGGGGAGCTGTACCATGAGCACTGCTTCGTGTGTGCCCAGTGCTTCCGGCCCTTCCCTGAGGGGCTCTTCTACGAGGTGAGGATGCTCCTGAGGGCCTTCTCAGACCAGCTCAGAGTCTGCCCTCAGACCCGGGCTCCATGCAGTGGTCCCGACTGCTGACTGGGCCAGGCCTGGAGCCAGCCCAGAACCAGGCTCGTGCTTCTGCACAGGCCCATCCTTCACCTGTGAGAGGTGAACAGTGCCCCGGGTACCCTGGGCGCTAATAGACAGCCACCTTTCACCAGACTGCTCTGGGCAGATGCTGGGTAGGCCCTGGGGTCAGGAAGAGCCTGCCTGCTGTTGCTTGGCCTCCGTAGGGACCAGACAGTGAGCACAGCAACCACATGGCCCACCAGCTGATGCTGATTACCTGGGGCTCAGGGCTCACAGGGAGGGGTGTGGGGGTGCTCAGGGAAAGTGAAGTTTGGGCGGACCTGAGGGGAGGGAACCACGTACATCTCTGCAGGAAGAGCACTGGGCAGAGGGTACAGCACATGCAAAGGCCCTGTGGTGGGAGAACGTGGGGTTGTGTGGAGAGCAGCAGGGAGGCTGGTGTGATGGAAGCTGAGGGCATGAGAGGGAGAGGGCCAGAAGCTGAGGACGGGGAGGTGGATCTCATTTGGCCCCATGGGCCTCTACAGAGCCTTAGGCTTCTGCTCTGCAAGAGACAGAAGCCTCCCTGGGGTGTGGGGCAGGGGAGTCCCACCACCTGCTGACATTTGAAAAGGTGCCCTGGCCAGGTGCGGTGGCTCACGCCTGTAATCCCAGCATTTTGGGAGGCAGAGGTGAGTGGATCACCTGAGGTCAGGAGTTTGAGGCCAGCCTGGCCAACATGGCGAAACCCCATCTGTACTAAAAATACAAAAAATGAGCCTCGCGTGGTGGTGGGCGCCTGTAATCCCAGCTACTTACGAGACTGAGGCAGGAGAATCGATTGAACCTGGGAGAGGGTGTTGCAGTGAGCCAAGATCGCACCACTGCTCTCCAGCCTGGGCGACAGAGCATGACTCCATCTAAAAAAAAAAAAGGATCCCTCTGGCTGCTGTGCTGAGGAGAGGGTGTGAGGCGGGGCAGGAACAGAGGCTGTGAGGCCGGAGGGACCAGGAGCTGAATTAGTGCAGCTGCCCAGATGAAAGTGAAGGGTCTCCCAGTAGCTCACAAGAGCAGTCGTTAAACCATCAACAATCTTGCAAGCTGGCTGTGCAGCACAGCTATTGTTAAAAATTAAATTATATAAATGTACAATGGGATAACATTTTATTAAAAACAGAGGTAACAAATACTCAAAGCATACCACTTGCTAATTATTTTGTGACATTTTACTATTGTCTATGCTGCTGGGGTTACTTCTGTCCTTTTGCACAGCTCCCCCTCAAGTCCAGGTCCATGTTGCATTGGCAGCTGGAAGTTGGCCATGACAGATATATTCACACCATGGACATTGGCAAATACCGCACAGTAGGGCCGCCTCTGCCCCCCAGGGAGCCGGCCGTTCCATTTACCAGCATGCCACTGGTGGTGGTGGTGACGGTGGTGACCAGGGGTGAGATGCTGGTTCTGTTTCGAGGTAGAGCTGATGAGATTGGCTGGTGCATGGATGTGGGCGCGTGGTCTGCCTGACAGAGCAGGAGCCACCGTTCCTCGTGGTGCCTTCAACCACCTGAGAAGTGCCGGCCAAGTGTAGAGGCAGCGGGAGGGGTGGACAAACCTCTGGGAGGGGTGGTCATGTGCCCACAACAAAGCCTGGCACACAGTAGGTGCCCAGAAGATTTCCATTGCTGAAAGAGTTTAAGCCTTTCCTGCCTCTACAGGTCACTTAGTAGGGCTAAATCCAGTTCAGTCTAATAAGACACTCATTTCAGAGAATGGGGAAAAACCAGATTAAAACATAGGAAATAAAATTGTTTAAAGAGAGGAAAGCAGAGGCAGGCTTTGGCCCCGTCTGTGGCCAGCACAGGGGCCCTCGATGCCAGCGCTGCCTGGAGGGTGTGCACGCTGACTCCTGCTGGCCATAGCCCTGTGCTCCCGCCTCCACTGTCCCCCCATGCCGGGGCCCTTCCCGCCTCCCTACCCCCTCCCACTCCCGGTGCCTGGACCCTTCCTGTGTTCCGTGCCTTCTGTCTCCTGTGCCCGGGTCTTTGTGGCTGCTGGGGGAGCTGGACTTCTCCCACAGAGAAGGTACAGGAAATAAGACCGAGTGACACTACACTTCACACTGGATCTCATCCCTCCTGCCTTAAACCCCCCTCGACCCCTGCCTGTTCTCAGGACTAATAGGGCCCAGATCCTCAGTAGACATCAGCGGTCCCTTGACAGATGGCCCCTCCCTTTGCAACCCACCATCCCACATGGGCCAGGGTCCTCTGCTGTCCAGGCCCGGGACCCGCTGCTCCAGCCTCAGCCGGGCACACCCTGTCTCAGTGCCCCTTCCCCTGCTGTCAGGGCCTGACCCGACAAGGGCCTGGGCGGCTCGTGGGGATGACGGGTGGTTTGCTTGTCCTCTCTTTGTGGCCCCTTTGCAGTTTGAAGGCCGGAAGTACTGCGAACACGACTTCCAAATGCTGTTTGCTCCATGCTGCGGATCTTGTGGTAAGGCGGGTGACAGCACACACCCTGTGCTGCCTGGGAAGTGGGCAGCAGGCAGTGGGGGCAGGAGGGGGCACACAGAACTGGCCCAGCTCTTTCCTAATCACCCACCCTGCCTCTCTGAGCAGCAGACCTTGGGCCCCAGGCATCCCCCTCCCACGAGGGAGCCCATGGGCCAGGCGGAGAGCAGGGGGAGTGCTAGGTGGATGGGGCTTGGGAGGGCCCAAAGAGGGGACGGGCACACGCCCCCTGCCCAGCAGGGACCTGTCCTCTTCCAGGCGAGTTCATCATTGGCCGTGTCATCAAAGCCATGAACAACAACTGGCACCCGGGCTGCTTCCGCTGCGAGCTGTGTGACGTGGAGCTGGCTGACTTGGGCTTCGTGAAGAACGCCGGCAGGTGAGGTGGCCGCGTCGGGCCGGAGAGGAGGGGCCGCAGCCCTTCCCAGCGCGCCTGCCAGCCCCTCCCGTGTGCTACCCATTGGCTGAGGGTCCGGCAGGGTTCTGGTTCTGCAGCCTGCACTGATGTGGCTGCCACCCTCCACGTCACCCTCCTCGTCACCTCAGGGCGGTTAGTCCAGCCCCCACTTTTTGGGGCCCCAGGCTCAGTGTGCTCCTGGCGGCCTCTTGGAAGCCAAGAGAAATCTCCACACTCTCCCAACCCCGGGCCACCCCACCTGCTGACCCCACCTGTCCCCCTTCCCCTGCCTGTACCTGTGCAGCTCAGTGTGGCTGGAGGGAAATGACCACATTAACTCTAAGTTCAGGGCCACAGACCTTATGGGTCCTCTGGAAGTTCCTACCTTCTGCAAAGCCTTGCTCTCTTGTCCTCCTTCCCCGAGCACTATCCCTGTAGCAGGTGCCTTGTCTCCTGCCTCCCTGGGCCCCGCTCTGGGATACCCTACAGCCCCACGTCTGTCTGTGAGCCCCATCCATCCCGTGATTTCTCCAGGGCCCGCTTCTCCACTCCACACTCTCTCTCTTTCTGAAGGGCCGGGTGGGGGAGCTGGGTTCAAAACACTGCCTGGCCTTCCTCTGCAGCTCCTGCCAGCTCATCCGCCACCCTCCAGTGAGTCACCCAGGCCCTCATCTGCCCAGGGACCCACACCTCCTCTTGACCCCTCAGCAGCCCTCACCACCGCTGCTGAGGTGCAGAAACGCCCCCCTCTGGCACCCAGGACCCTGTGTTCCTGTGGTTCTGCCCGCCCCTGCAGCTGCACATGCCCGTTCTCCTCCTCTGAGCCACCTTCCTCCCTGTCTCTCCATGACGGGGTCCTTCCTCTCTGTCTTTCCATGGGGGGTCGTCTGGGGCTCGGTGCCCACCCCTCATGGCTGCCCTTGCAGACAGAGTCCCAGAGCCCTAAATGGCAGGCATATCTGGACAATCCTGGGGTCTGCCTCAGGCCTCTGTCTCGCTGCCCCCAGCTGCCCACGTGCCACCTCCACGTGGTGTCCACTAGGCATCCCAAACGCAATGGGGCCCGAGCCGTTTGGGATTCTCCTCCACTGACCACCAAGGCTGCCTGTGCATGTGTCCCTGGTGTCAGTGGAGGCAGTGCCACCCCGCCCAGGCCCCAGCCTGGCATCCCCACCACACCCTCTCTATCTGACCCTGTTCCCTCCTGTAGCTCCTCCGAGATGCCTCCCCTACACTGCCGAGCTCTTGTCCGTGCGCTGCCCATGAGAGAGGCACATGGCTTGGTGCCTGGTGTCTGGCCTGCTGTCCTCGGGGCTGGGCAGTGCCTGGCATTCAGCAGGTTGTCTAAATGAAAGGCTGAGGGGCCAGGCAGTGCAGGGCAGGGGCCGAGGGACAGCACCAGGGCTTGTGCTGACCAGCAGCGTTGCCGACAGGGTGTGTGGAGCAAGTCTAATCTCCTTCCTCAGCAAGGTTTGCACAGGGCCACTGCCCCAATCAAGGGGAAATTCAGAAGATGCTGGCAGTGCCTTGGAAAGTCAAATGTGCTACAAGTGTGTTGCGGTGAGGACCAGGCAGGGTGGCAGCTAGAGTGAGGAATGAAGGAGTCCGCTTGGCCCACAGTGCAGAACTTCAGAATCTGGGCTGACGCGCTATGAGCTGCCAGCGCCCCAGCAAGAGAGCCCGAGAGGCTGCCTCTGCTGCTACGCCACCACTTCACCATTCTTGGGTCAAAGTTCTGGAAGACACAGTAAGCTTCGTAGTCTTAAAGCTACAGTTATGTTTATGATCTGTCCAAACACGTACAAAAGAGGGCATGTTAGGGCGATATCTGCACGCTAGCAAGGGAAAGAGCTCAGGCAGAGAGGCCTCTCCGTAGGGAGTGGGCTGGGGCCATCTCTTCAGGGTCTGGGTCGGTGGGACGCGGGTGCACAGCCCAGCTCCGGCCTGAGCTTAGCTCCCGTGACTGCACAGGACATGCCTGTCCAGGACTGGGAGGCCTGGGAGTCTGCCAAGGAGCTCTGGGGGTGGCAGGTCTGTGCATGGAGTTACAGCAGGAGGGATCCAGAATCCAGAGCTGCACTGGGTCCCTGCAGGCTGCAAGGGCTGAGGTTCCCCAGCAACCAGCCTGAAATGTGTGGCCTGTGTCCCTTCGACTCAGGCAGGGGGTGTCTGGCAGAGGCACCACAGAAGGGACCCAGAGTACCTTGCACTGCAAAGGGATATTGAGACCCCCTCTCTTCCCCACCAGGTCCCTCTTCTGGGTCATTTGCAGCCTGCCTCCTTGGTCTTTCTGCTGAGCCTCGCCACTGGTGATTCTGTAGCGGGAAGGAGGCTGGGAGCCTAGTGGGAAAGAAAGGCCTCCTTTGTATTCAGGGGTTGTTCTTCCAGCCTCCTCTCTCCCTGCTGTGGGTGAGGTTGCTGAGTGTCTATGAGCCACTGAAAGCCTCCCAAGCCCCTGCAGAGGGCTAGGCGGCAGATCCCCTTCATCAGTTCTCCCTTTTTAGGGGTTGAGACTAGGGGATTGAGAGAAACGGTGGGCACCTGCTGAGATTTCGGGCCTCCTGCTGGGGAGGTGTTGGGGAAGGGGCAGGTGCCTCTTGCTGAGTCTGCTGAGCCCTCAACAGTCGGTGCTTGGCCTGGACGGCGCCCCCGCTCACAGCTCTGACCTGGCACTCAGCGAGCTCTCGTTGGTTTTCCCTTCAAAGCTGGGGGGCGGGCCCGTGAGCCTTTTGCCACAGAGTAAGTTGCACAGGGCATGGCGGAACTTCTCAGCCACGAAGAAATACATGACGGGGTCGAGCGCCCCGTTGAGGCTGGTGAGGCAGGAGGTGATGCGGTTTCCCAGGGCCAGGACGCGCTGGGCGGCGCAGGAGGTCCCACGGCCACGGTAGTGCAGCACATAGACAGAGCGGTTGACGTGGTAGGGCACGAAGCAGACCAGGAAGATGGCCAGCACCATGGCGATCATGCGCACCGCCTTGCTCTTGAGGCGCTTCTCCACACGCGGGCCCTGCCGCAGGCTGCGGATGATCAGCAGGTAGCAGGTGACCGTGGTGACGAATGGGAAGGTGAAGGCCACGGCCAGGGACACCAGGGCGTGGTGGGAGGCCTTCTCCCGGTACAGCTGCAGGCAGACCACCGTGTGGTTGGTCTGCACGGTCTGCGGGCTCACCAGCAGCGGGGCCATGGCCACGGCCACCACCACCCACAGGAAGGCACAGGCCAGGTGTGCGTAGAGGGGCCTGCGGAGCTTGAGGGATTTGACCGGGTGCACGATGGCCAGGAAGCGGTCAGCGCTGATGCAGGTGAGGAAGTAGATGCTGGCATACATGTTGAGGTAGAAGAGGAAGCCGGTGAGGCGGCAAGGGATTTCCCCGAACGGCCAGTGGTTCCCAGAGAAGTGGTAGACCAGGCGGGTGGGCAGGACCAGCACGCACGACAAGTCGGCCACCGCCAGATGCATCAGGAACACGTTGGCGGGGGTCCCTGACTTGTGGTCTCGGATGAAAAGCCACAGAGCCAGGGCATTGCCAACGAAAGCCAGAATAAAATCCAGGAGGTAGAAGGAGGCAAACAGCATGTTCTCCAGTGGCGTCTCCTGGCCACATTGCTCTGCTGTGGCCAGGGAGGAGTTGGTGATCAGACCTGGGGGGGCCGCTTCAAGGCCATTCATGCTTTGGGTGGAGACAGAGCCGGGTACGAGCCTGGAAAGAACAAGCAAACGGTTTGAAATGAGCCTGTGACCCGCGCAGCTTCACGCTCTCCACTCCAGAAACCAGGCCTCCGATGCCTTCAGAACCTCCCGATTCCAAGCTCAGCACTGCCCACGGGGCTGCTGAGGGGCCCTCCTCGGCCATTCGGGGTGCGTGAGCGTCAGAGGCATTCTGAACGTCAGCACAAGGCAGATACGGAACCAGGGCTTGGCATTTCCCTGCTGCTCAGCTGCACCCCTGCCACCCGGGAGATCCGAGGCTCCTCCGAGCTGGGAGGCTGGGTGGGCGTCGTGGCAGGGAACGGGACATGGGCCCCACCTGGGTGAGGCTCTGGGTCTTCTGTTCTGCCCCTGAGGTGTGCTGTCTGAGGGGCAGGGGTGGTGGGGGCGGGGGCAGTGTGTCTCTGTGACTCCAGCTCCTTCTCGATCCCAGCCTTGGCAGGAGAGTTCCGCTCAACCTGAGTGCCTGGACCCTTTCCGACCCACCTGCTCACAAGTGCAGTGGCCAGGGTGTCACCACTTTTTGCTTCCCTTGCTGGTGCCTGACCATGGTTCCCCTAGCAACTGACTCAGGAGGGTGCCCCCAGGATGGCAGCAAGGGCGGTGTCCTGGGAGGTCAGAGGTCTGCTCTTCTACCCGCCTGAGAGTCTCAGCGTCTCTCTTGGGGGCTTTCCCAGCCCACCAACTCTGTTTGGACTTCCTGACAGGTGGAGACCTGTGCTAGGAGAAGCCTGTGCCTGGGCATCAGGCCAGCGGGGAGCATTTTCTGTGCCAGAGTAGATCCACCACCAGGAGGCAGTGTCTCTTCCAGGAGGGAAGACCCGTTTTACCTAGAGGCAGAGAGACTGTCCAGGTCAGATCTGCAGCCCCAGAGAGGCCTGGAGGCCCCCAGATTTGCTCACCTTGGAAGGCCAAGTGCAGAGCCCCGTGACAGGCCTGGGTTACAAGCCATATCCATCTGGTGAACCCTGGGTCTGGATAGGGTGCTCCCCACCCTCAGCAGACAGAGAAACGCACTCCTGCTTTGATTTTTGTCAACTCAGGAGATTCAAGAAGGAGACGGAGGGTCCCAAACACCTTGCTTCCCAACCCAGGCCTGCGATTGGGGGTGTGGGCAGGACAGGGCAGGTGGTGGGGCCAGAGCAACCTGTAGCCCTGAACAGGGGCAGGACGCTGGGCTGGGCTCACCTTCGAATCGGGGTCTCCAGAGGGCTTTGGCCAGGTGGGTGCTGATGATGGCACAGCTTCTGGGGCTCCTCTGAGAGCCCGG